TGCGCAAGGCATCCCGGTCCAGAAAAGGCCGCAACTGGTGCACCAGGCGCACCCGGTAAAACGCCCCCCTGGCCACAGCCGCCAACTGGTCTTCCAGTGTCAGCCGTGGATCCAGGAGGACCCCCAAGTTGCGTACCCTCTCCGAGGGGGCCAAAGTTTCGCCCCCTATAGTCAGCGATGGAGTCAGCTGACCATACCTACAGACTGCTCTTGGATATAGCTGATGTTTCCAACACTAATAGAAATTGCATCAATGCATCCTCCAGTGGTGCTTCATTCTATAATGTGAATCCTGATCTGAACCCATTAGCCAAGTGATAATACTAATGGAAGAGGCCTGGGTTACTGGTTTTGCTGGCTGGGGAATTCTGGGAGTTGAAGTCCATCCATCTTAAAGTTGCTAAGGTTGAGAAACCCTGCTCTAAATAATCGGACATTTCAATCTCAGGAACATCTCCTTCCCTATAGATTCCATTAATAAAGCTGTAGCCTTTTGCCCCCTTTAGCCTCTTCAATCTGTCTCCGAGACACATTTGTTTTGGGGATGGGGTGGGGAGACAATGCATTTTAATCAGCAAAGAATGATTCCAGATATATTTATTCAGCTTTTAAAAAGTCTTACATCCTGTCACTGATTTTGATGGAACATAACAATATATAAAACTAAATATACGGTAATAGATTATTTAAAATTATCATAATTTAGGAAAAAATAATGATTTGCTACAACATTATGCATGTTTTATTAAGTACACTAGGATGCGCATCTAGTAGAACAATGACTGTAACTTTGCAAGATTCCCATGTTAAATATTTTTAGTCTTATGTCTGAAATGCTGTGAGAGTTACAGTAGGCAGGCATTTTATGTTTAGTAACATACAGCACTGGATGAAGAATGCTAAATAATTCAAAACTCTTATATTAACACACATATGTAGCATGAGCTGTGGTAGTGCAGTAGTTAGAATGCAGTATTGCAGGCTAATTCTGCTGACTGCCAGCAGTTCGATTCTCACTGGCTCAAGGTTGACTCAGTCTTCCATCCTTCCAAGGTTGGTAAAATGAGGACTCAGATTGGTGGGGGCAATATGCTGACTCTGTAAACTGCTTAGAGAGGGCTGTGAAATGGTATAAAAGTCTAAGTGTTATTGCTATTACATTACAGAGCAGCAAACTATCTGTAGCACATACTAAAGGTCTACATCTTGAATGTTATATGTGAATAACTATATAGTCATCTATACAAATTAAGTATGAAATTTAAAGTGCGAACAGAATTCCTATAATTATTACCATATGGATGATCACTAGCTTTGATGGTGATGTAAGTAGTTTCCTTCTCTGGATCTATGCTAGCTCCACTGGTTGGGGTTGAACCTGTTTTTCCATCTCCAGTAATAGCAGATACTAATGTCACCTGAAAATATTCTTTCAGTTCAGGTATATCATCATCAAGCACATGCAAATTCAAAACCTGGGAACAGGAAATGACAGGATAAAGATGCAGACAGAAAACCAAATTAAATAAAAATATTGTCATTGCATTTAAAAAGGCAAATCCAAAAGTGTGAAAAATTTTACATAAACATTGTTGGAAAGGTGAAACTCTAATTTCAATCTGAGAAGAATATATTATAACCAATTTTAAAGATATATTAATCTGACAAGTTTTTCTAATGGAGTCAACACTTTTGGTCAATCAACCATTATGTTATCCTATCTCAATTAATTAAAAACTACTGCAAGTAAAGCATTATTTAAAAAGCTGATAAAGGAGAAATTTAAAAATGAACAACATAAGGCAAAACTATTAAATACAACATTAAAATATCATTCAAATTTAGGAATACTTAAAAAATATAAATAGGAAAAAATAAAGGATGCAAAAATATAGTTAAAAGCTCTATGATTTTAAAAGGCTTGGGAAAAATTAAGGATATTTGTATATTAATAAAAGAACATTAAAGTGGTAATCAGGCAAGCTATTTTTAGATGAAAGTTTAGAATTATAAAAGATACAGATGACAAAGAATTCATCCCTAAATATCACAATCATTTAATTTTTAGTTTAGTGCTAATATGATGACAGTCTTACAGAGACTACTTAATACTTCCTGTTCTTTGAAAAGATTTTATAGCATTTCCACTCTAATTGTTATTCAACATTCATTTAAGTGTAAATAAAAAATAACTAGAAATTAGGTACATCTGTAACTAGCACAATGAACCTTCAGTTAAAGCCAGAAATATATTATAAATACTGAAATTAGTTTGCATCCCTGAAAATACATCGGTAGTAACAAACAAACAAAAAATTCCCATACAACAAAATTATTCCCAACAAAATTAACTATAGATTAGCAAAATATTGTCCAAATTTCAAAGCAGCAATGCATAACAATAATATTGTTAAATTGAAGAGGTATGTATGATTTACCTCTGATCTCTGGAAAGGAAGGAATGTTATAATCCCACTACTGTTAGCAAAGTCAGTAACAGTATAATTAACGCCATAAGAATCAATCTGAGAGATAGTGTAATACACAAAAACAGAATCCAAGGCCCCTCTGGTGCGTTCCACTACACAAGATACAGTAGAACCTTCATTAGAGACCTATAAACAATAAGAATTGCAATAAACAGTATGATAAATATAAGTTTGAAAATTCTGAGGTTTGGGTGAAAATGAAATATGAAGTCACATTGATAAGTTACAATAAAAACAATATTCAGCTTTTAAATGCATAAATTCTTATTTTGGGGGAAAATCCCATTACACACACATGTTCGTTTGTTCAATAATTATTTTACCTCATTCATCAACTCTAAAGGCTCCCAAAGCACTTTAGCAATGATTAACAGGAAGACATTTCTCTTTAGCAAGATTACCATATAAAATATATGAAATAAAAAGAAAATAATTGAAGGAAAATAACAAAAGGAGGCATCTGTTTTTAAAATCAGAGTGTGCATAATAATCATTTTCCTCAGTAGAAAAAAGCCTTATATCCATTGTTTGCCCATGTTAAATCTCTATCTTAATATTCTATCATTCCTTTTCCACTACCCATGATGTTATTTGCTTTATAACTACCTGCTTATAAACCTACTTCCAGTTAACAGTGCCCCAGATTACTGCTAAACCAATTCCAATAATTCCCCAGGATTATGTGTTGCTAGTATGAAGACTTTTCAGCTAACAAGATTAAGCAACATTAGGACTGCCTTTGATAGCAATGTGCTATCAAGATTACAAGGTCAGTATCATTATCTCCATATTGCTTAGGATAAGAAGAGGTTGAAAAGAAAATGAGCAAAGCATCACTAAGTGAAGCCACAACTGTGTTTATGATTTTACTTCAACTTTCCTTTATTGATCTGTGAAGGTCATAAATGCACAGATTTGCTGCAAACTTACTTTTTCATCACTGTTGTGATGAAACAGCCCTAAACGAGGCAATTAGTAAATGAAAACTACCTGTATATAGTATGTATACTGGTTAGGCTTGAATTAAGGATTTTCATGGATTACATTAATAGGGTTTTTCTACCTCTGGAATACATGCTCCTGTGAAACCAAATAATCCATTGGCATTATCACTTTTCTGGATTCTTAATGTTGCAGTTGAATTGTCTTGTGAAATTTGTGCTCCTCCATAAACTGAAATAAGCTTTAGAATGAACAGCTCCTCTCCTTCCTCTTCTTTGTCATCTTTGACAGAAACAATGAATGATTTGTTCCTTTCTCCTTGTCGATATTCTAAGTATCCAGAGATGGGGTACAAATCAGACTTTGCTGGCATAGCGTGAAGTTCACTGATCTCTTCCTTTGTTAATTTACATTCATAAAATCTCACATCTTGCATCAATCCTTTATACCTGCTGCCACCATTTATGCCAGCACCAACTTTCATTATTCCTTGTCCTAGGGAAAACAGACCCACAAATAAATATTGCTTTTAAGGCTCCAACTTTAAGTTTTACAAAATTAAATTTTGGTTAGTACTGTACATAATCACTCATTTTGAATTTCATTATCTAAAACACGAAAACTGACTTCAATGTAACTAAAATTAATGCAAGTATTAATATTTATGTAATACCCAAGTCCAGTGTAGTTAAAGCAGGTTCTTCTGGCTCAAACTTCATGGAATAATAAGATGTTTTGCTTTCATTTGTTTTATCTAGCCATTATTTGAACACATCAGAACTAGGCATAACAAATCTGATTTATTCAAAAGCAAAAACAGAAATCTGTAAGTTGAATGAAGAGAAGTAATGTCCATGTTTGTGATTTGTAAAGTTTACTATAATGTAAAAGTCTGGTTTCTGTTAAATCTTAAGAGGCTTTAAAGAAGCAATAAACAGGATTCAAGAGTTAATTTATAAAGGCTGTTCTTCTCCAGCTTTGAGAAAGCAAAGAGGACCTACTGAAACTTTTCTGTAGCTTTTATTTCTATCCTGCTGAACTACAGCTACAAAGTTCTGCTTCATCAGCCAGGTTTCACCACCTATATGAAAGGTGGTGTGCTGAAGTGTTGGGCATAGAAAACTGGAGATAAATTAGTGGTGCAGCAATTGGTATGACCAGTAGTTGATGTTCTGCCTCAGAAGAGATAAGTCTTTTGATGCTGAGCTTCTGATGTAGAATGAAAATCTGAGAATCTGGCTAATCCATTTTTTGTGGATTGAGACAGTCTGGCTAATCCATTTTTTGTGGATTGAGACAGTCTAGATGTATGCTTTCCTACTGATAGAGATGTATCATGAGATGCACTCAATAAGTACAATTTAATTTTACATCTATTGCATCTGCACATTCATATTTCACCAGAAAATGTTAGGGGTTTAATACAAACTCCTTCAATTTTGAATTTGCTCTCAGAAGCTGTGTATGATGCTTTTAAAGAGTTCTTTGTTGACAGAATATTTTGCATCTGGGTTGTGATGGTACCTATTTGCCATGGTATCCTTCTGGATCACTAAAAGGTTTGGTATAGGCAGCATCCATATTTGTCAGACAGATCACCTACAGTGGTATTTTATGACAGTTGCTGTTAAATACAGGAGCTGCTACTAGCTAGGACATATCCATGCTTCTTACTATTCAATCTGCTTCTGCCTATCCTCATGCCATTTGATTCCAAACTGATTTAAATTCCATCCATACTGAGATATTTTGACAAAGCTTGTAAGGTACACATACCATATTTCCAGTAATAACAAAAAGCTGTAAAATATTTTCCCATCCTACTGCTTTACAATATCTTTTAAAGCTACTGTGGATGCACAATGTTGTAGAAGCACAATGGCTTATAAACAGAAGATCAGTAGTACCATATGTTAATTATAATATAACTTTACATTAAAAATATGTATAAAAAATAGAATGGCTAGNCAACATACACTGTATAGTATCTATTTTACATGGAGTATTTTGTTTAACAAGAAATGCAGCTAATATCTTCAACAGAAAATTAAAAATCTAATGCTTTTTAAAAAGAAAATTCAAGTTATTTATGAGAGTTTCACCAGAATAAATTAAATGTAACTAAATTTCAGTCCCCAAAGAGACAGAATATATTATTATTATTATTATTCCATAAATCTTTACCTGCCCCATCTGGATTCAGCAATTCTACTTTGAAAGCCTTTTCTAGCTCAGGGAGAGAATTGTCTGTAATGTTCACAAGAATGTGCTTGTATCTTTCTCCTGGCAGAAATTCCAAGGTCCCTGTAATTCCCTGCAGGGAAAAAAAGCTGTTAAAAGATCCACATGAGGCCACTATATGTGTCAAGCTGTCATTTACTTGGGACAGGTCCATAGTTGCCATAGAGGCCACAAACGTCTGAGCCATCTTGGACTCAGCATCATGGGGTGCCAAATTAAAACATCCAGGCACCAAAAGCCTAGGGAACTCTATTACCAATTCAGCCATGGAATGCAGAATCTAAGGCAAGAATCCCACAGGTAGCAGGGACAGCAGTATCCTAGCACCAATCCCAACTATTCCCTTTACTCTGAAACACTGACAAGAATACATTGGACATACTATTTCAGTGATAAACTCATTGAAGCTAACTGGCCTCTATCAACCCTTTTAGAGAGCCGCTCACATACCTGATAATCTTGAGGGCTGAATGCTGTTAGTGCAACTGTTCTGTATTGTGCCACAATTGTCCCAAGCAGGCCTTGTGCTCGAACAACAAGCAAGCTGACTTGTCCTATTTCTTCCTTGATAGTAATGTGGGGTGCTGTCATGGCTGAAAGAATGGTTTCATCAGTACCTGAAGGAGGCTGCCCAACAGAGAACTGCAACAAACCTGGCAAGTGAAAAAATATATCTTGTATTATTTATCCTTAAATGCGGGCAAAACATTTATTAATAAAAATACTTTTGTCTCTGATACATAAATTGAATATATAAAGATCCATGTCCATTTGAGCTACAATTTCCACTGAATTTGCATACAGATATGGGAAAATATGTTAAGGTATTCAATTTTGCAATTGGGTAATTAATTCCAGCAAAAAAGGTTCTTGGCTTTCTCCAGTTGGCATAGGATAATTATGAAAAGTTAATAGTTCTCCTGAAAAAAAGAAAACATAGAAAAGCAGGCGCTATGTAGAATGTCTGCTAATTCTTAGATGACAAATAGTATAAATTATTTAAATATTTATAGCAACTAATTAAATCTATATCTATCTATCTATCTATCTATCTATCTATTGATAAAAAACAACTATTCAAACAGAAAAACAATAATAAATGATATACTGTATATATGCCACAGGAGACAACCACAGGAAGCTACATCCAACTTATGTTTGTCATCTACAGACTGCTCTTGGATATAGCTGATGTTTCCAACACTAATAGAAATTGCATCAATGCATCCTCCAGTGGTGCTTCATTCTATAATGTGAATCCTGATCTGAACCCATTAGCCAAGTGATAATACTAATGGAAGAGGCCTGGGTTACTGGTTTTGCTGGCTGGGGAATTCTGGGAGTTGAAGTCCATCCATCTTAAAGTTGCTAAGGTTGAGAAACCCTGCTCTAAATAATCGGACATTTCAATCTCAGGAACATCTCCTTCCCTATAGATTCCATTAATAAAGCTGTAGCCTTTTGCCCCCTTTAGCCTCTTCAATCTGTCTCCGAGACACATTTGTTTTGGGGATGGGGTGGGGAGACAATGCATTTTAATTAGCAAAGAATGATTCCTGATATATTTATTCAGCTTTTAAAAAGTCTTACATCCTGTCACTGATTTTGATGGAAAATAACAATATATAAAACTAAATATAATAGATTATTTAAAATGATCATAGTTTAGGAAAAAATTAATGATTTTGCTACAATATTATGCATGTTTTATTAAGTACACTAGGATGCGCATCTAGTAGAACAATGACTGTAACTTTGCAAGATTCCCATGTTAAATATTTTTAGTCTTATGTCTGAAATGCTGTGAGAGTTACAGTAGGCAGGCATTTTATGTTTAGTAACATACAGCACTGGATGAAGAATGCTAAATAATTCAAAACTCTTATATTAACACACATATGTAGCATGAGCCATGGTGGCGCAGTGGTTAGAATGCAGTATTGCAAGCTAATTCTGCTGACTGCCAGCAGTTCGATTCTCACTGGCTCAAGGTTGACTCAGTCTTCCATCCTTCCGAGGTTGGTAAAATGAGGACTCAGATTGGTGGGGGCAATATGCTGACTCTGTAAACTGCTTAGAGAGGGCTGTGAAATTGTATAAAAGTCTAAGTGTTATTGCTATTACATTACAGAGCAGCAAACTATCTGTAGCACATACTAAAGGTCTACATCTTGAATGCTATATGTGAATAACTATATAGTCATCTGTACAAATTAAGTATGAAATTTAAAGTGCGAACAGAATTCCTATAATTATTACCATATGGATGATCACTAGCTTTGATGGTGATGTAAGTAGTTTCCTTCTCTGGATCTATGCTAGCTCCACTGGTTGGGGTTGAACCTGTTTTTCCATCTCCAGTAATAGCAGATACTAATGTCACCTGGAAATATTCTTTCAGTTCAGGTATATCATCATCAAGCACATGCAAATTCAAAACCTGGGAACAGGAAATGACAGGATAAAGATGCAGACAGAAAACCAAATTAAATAAAAATAGTATCATTGCATTTAAAAAGGCAAATCCAAAAGTGTGAAAAATTTTACATAAACATTGTTGGAAAGGTGAAACTCTAATTTCAATCTGAGAAGAATATATTATAACCAATTTTAAAGATATATTAACCTGACAAGTTTTTCTAATGGAGTCAACACTTTTGGTCAATCAACCATTATGTTATCCTATCTCAATTAATTAAAAACTACTGCAAGTAAAGCATTATTTAAAAAGCTGATAAAGGAGAAATTTAAAAATGAACAACATAAGGCAAAACTATTAAATACAACATTAAAATATCATTCAAATTTAGGAATACTTAAAAAATATAAATAGGAAAAAAATAAAGGATGCAAAAATATAGTTAAAAGCTCTATGATTTTAAAAGGCTTGGGAAAAATTAAGGATATTTGTATATTAATAAAAGAACATTAAAGTGGTAATCAGGCAAGCTATTTTTAGATGAAAGTTTAGAATTATACAAGATACAGATGACAAAGAATTCATCCCTAAATATCACAATCATTTAATTTTTAGTTTAGTGCTAATATGATGACAGTCTTACAGAGACTACTTAATACTTCCTGTTCTTTGAAAAGATTTTATAGCATTTCCACTCTAATTGTTATTCAACATTCATTTAAGTGTAAATAAAAAATAACTAGAAATTAGGTACATCTGTAACTAGCACAATGAACCTTCAGTTAAAGCCAGAAATATAATATTATAAATACTGAAATTAGTTTGCATCCCTGAAAATACATCGGTAGTAACAAACAAACAAAAAATTCCCATACAACAAAATTATTCCCAACAAAATTAACTATAGATTAGCAAAATATTGTCCAAATTTCAAAGCAGCAATGCATAACAATAATATTGTTAAATTGAAGAGGTATGTATGATTTACCTCTGATCTCTGGAAAGGAAGGAATGTTATAATCCCACTACTGTTAGCAAAGTCAGTAACAGTATAATTAACGCCATAAGAATCAATCTGAGAGATAGTGTAATACACAAAAACAGAATCCAAGGCCCCTCTGGTGCGTTCCACTACACAAGATACAGTAGAACCTTCATTAGAGACCTATAAACAATAAGAATTGTAATAAACAGTATGATAAATATAAGTTTGAAAATTCTGAGGTTTGGGTGAAAATGAAATATGAAGTCACATTGATAAGTTACAATAAAAACAATATTCAGCTTTTAAATGCATAAATTCTTATTTTGGGGGAAAATCCCATTACACACACATGTTCGTTTGTTCAATAATTATTTTACCTCATTCATCAACTCTAAAGGCTCCCAAAGCACTTTAGCAATGATTAACAGGGAGACATTTCTCTTTAGCAAGATTACCATATAAAATATATGAAATAAAAAGAAAATAATTGAAGGAAAATAACAAAAGGAGGCATCTGTTTTTAAAATCAGAGTGTGCATAATAATCATTTTCCTCAGTAGAAAAAAGCCTTATATTCATTGTTTGCCCATGTTAAATCTCTATCTTAATATTCTATTATTCCTTTTCCACTACCCATGATGTTATTTGCTTTATAACTACCTGCTTATAAACCTACTTCCAGTTAACAGTGCCCCAGATTACTGCTAAACCAATTCCAATAATTCCCCAGGATTATGTGTTGCTAGTATGAAGACTTTTCAGATAACAAGATTAAGCGACATTAGGACTGCCTTTGATAGCAATGTGCTATCAAGATTACAAGGTCAGTATCATTATCTCCATATTGCTTAGGATAAGAAGAGGTTGAAAAGAAAATGAGCAAAGCATCACTAAGTGAAGCCACAACTGTGTTTATGATTTTACTTCAGCTTTCCTTTATTGATCTGTGAAGGTCATAAATGCACAGATTTGCTGCAAAGTTACTTTTTCATCACTGTTGTGATGAAACAGCCCTAAACGAGGCAATTAGTAAATGAAAACTACCTGTATATAGTATGTATACTGGTTAGGCTTGAATTAAGGATTTTCATAGATTACATTAATAGGGTTTTTCTACCTCTGGAATACACGCTCCCGTGAAACCAAATAATCCATTGGCATTATCGCTTTTCTGGATTCTTAATGTTGCAGTTGCATTGTCTTGTGAAATTCGTGCTCCTCCATAAACTGAAATAAGCTTTAGAATGAACAGCTCCTCTCCTTCCTCTTCTTTGTCATCTTTGACAGAAACAATGAATGATTTGTTCCTTTCTCCTTGTCGATATTCTAAGTATCCAGAGATGGGGTACAAATCAGACTTTGCTGGCATAGCGTGAAGTTCACTGATCTCTTCGTTTGTTAATTTACATTCATAAAATCTCACATCTTGCATCAATCCTTTATACCTGCTGCCACCATTTATGCCAGCACCAACTTTCATTATGCCTTGTCCTAGGGAAAACAGACCCACAAATAAATATTGCTTTTAAGGCTCCAACTTTATGTTTTACAAAATTAAATTTTGGTTAGTACTGTACATAATCACTCATTTTGAATTTCATTATCTAAAACACGAAAACTGACTTCAATGTAACTAAAATTAATGCAAGTATTAATATTTACGTAATACCCAAGTCCAGTGTAGTTAAAGCAGATTCTTCTGGCTCAAACTTCATGGAATAATAAGATGTTTTGCTTTCATTTGTTTTATCTAGCCATTATTTGAACACATCAGAACTAGGCATAACAAATCTGATTTGTTCAAAAGCAAAAACAGAAATCTGTAAGTTGAATGAAGAGAAGTAATGTACATGTTTGTGATTTGTAAAGTTTACTATAATGTAAAAGTCTGGTTTCTGTTAAATCTTAAAAGAAGCAATAAACAGGATTCAAGAGTTAATTTATAAAGGCTGTTCTTCTCCAGCTTTGAGAAAGCAAAGAGGACCTACTGAAACTTTTCTGTAGCTTTTATTTCTATCCTGCTGAACTACAGCTACAAAGTTCTGCTTCATCAGCCGGGTTTCACCACCTATATGAGAGGTGGTGTGCTGAAGTGTTGGGCATAGAAAACTGGAGATAAATTAGTGGTGCAGCAATTGGTATGACCAGTGGTTGATGTTCTGCCTCAGGAGAGATAAGTCTTTTGATGTTGAGCTTCTGATGTAGAATGAAAATCTGAGAAGCTTATAATCCATTTTTTGTGGATTGAGACAGTCTGGATGTATGCTTTCCTACTGATAGAGATGCATCATGAGATGCACTCAATAAGTACAATTTAATTTTACATCTATTGCATCTGCACATTCATATTTCACCAGAAAATGTTAGGGGTTTAATACAAACTCCTTCAATTTTGAATTTGCTCTCAGAAGCTGTGTATGATGCTTTTAAAGAATTCTTTGTGGACAGAATATTTTGCATCTGGGTTGTGATGGTACCTATTTGCCATGGTATCCTTCTGGATCACTAAAAGGTTTAGGTATAGGCAGCATCCCTATTTGTCAGACAGATCACCTACAGTGGTATTTTATGACAGTTGCTGTTAAATACAGGAGCTGCTACTAGCTAGGACATATCCATGCTTCTTACTATTGAATCTGCTTCTGCCTGTCCTCATGCCATTTGATTCCAAACTGATTTAAATTCCATCTATACTGAGACATTTTGACAAAGCTTGTAAGGCACACATACCATATTTCCAGTAATAACAAAAAGCTGTAAAATATTTTCCCATCCTACTGCTTTACAATATCTTTTAAAGCTACTGTGGATGCACAATGTTGTAGAAGCACAATGGCTTATAAACAGAAGATCAGTAGTACCATATGTTAATTATAATATAACTTTACATTAAAAATATGTATAAAAAATAGAATGGCTAGAATGCAAAGCTAGCTATTTGAAACTGGAAATTTGAATGAATTATCCCAACATTAGCCAATATAACTCTGCAATCCATTTTTTAAAAAGTAAATACTTATCACAGAGATTATCTGTTTCAGATCTGTATAATAAAAACCATATATTTATTTATGGAATTTTAAATGAATGGGGATGAATTTCTTATATAATGAAAGAAAAATATGTAATTCCTTTAGCAATTTCACTTCTCAATGGAGTTTGATTACCCCAAATTTCAATTAAAAGAACTCAAAACACCTCACAGGAGCAGCTTATATCCTGCAATGATACCCTTAACACCATCAAAAAAATCTACCTCTCCCTTGGAAAGCATGATGGATAAAAATGCCAATTCCAGTCTAAACATCTGGCTAACAGTGCAGCCAACCAATAATAATGATAATGATAGCTGAATTATTAAAGAAAGAATTGATTAATAATTAATAATTAAATAATTACTGAACATATAGAAAACAAAAAGGGAATATCCAGATAATGAAATAAAATATAGAATGCTGATAAGGAAAATCACCAAATGGTCAATTTCTACAAAAAATTGAGGGGAATGTGATAAAGATTAAATTTGGCAACTGGAAATTTTAAAAAGCAACCTAAGGCTTGATTTGGCTGAGCTGTGGTGGCATAGTGGTTAGAATGCAGTATTGCAGGCTAAGTCTGGTTACACTGCCAGAAGCTCGATTCCTTCAATCCTGACCAGCTGAAGGTTGACTCAGCCTTCCATTCTTCCAGCAAAATGAGTGTTGGGGGCAATATGCTGACTCTGTAAATCACTTAGAGAGTGCTGTAAAGCACTGTGAAGCGGTATATAAGTCTAAATGATATTGCTTTTGCTATTTGAACTAATGTAATCAAGGCCAGAATTGATTGAACACGAAGACTGTGCAAAGAGGCAGAAAAAACAGTAGACCATATATTCAGCTTGTGCAAGAAGATCACACAAACTGATTATAAACAATGACATACCATAGTCACTAAACTGATTTATTGGAACATCTGTAAAAATGTTCATGTGCCAGTAATGAAAAATTGGTGGGAATACAGTATGTTGTTGAAAAGTTAATAAAAAAGGAATGAGTTAAAATATTGTGGCATTTCTAAATGTAATCTGAGTTTAGCCTCATAAGGATACCAGATATCACTGTGATTTAAAAGAAGAAAGTGTAGATAACTGATGTGGCAATACCAGGAGATAGTAGAATAGAAGACAAAGAATTGGTGATCACAAAGTATCAAGATCTAAAAAATCAAAATTGAAAGATTATGGCATAAGCTGCCCATGGTAGTCACACTGTTATCAGCACATGGAGTGCCATACTAAAAAATCTTGGATGGCAGTTTAAAATGTCCAAAAAGCCACACTGCTTGGATCCACACATATACTATGCTGAGAGATTATAATATATTAGGTTTTGTGGAAGAACATGATGAGTAAGAAGGCCAAATCCAATTAAGAATTAGTAGTTATCATTTCATGTTGTTGTGTACAAAGAACACAGAGAATAACTGAAGTAGAACCACTGTGGCAAAATAAAACAGAGATAGCACAAGTAGTAATTAATGCCTTGGGACCAAATACAAAACATCTGGATTTCACCATCGGCATTAAGGAAAGCACCATCTATCAATTGCAAAAGGCAGAACAATTTACATCATGCAACAATACCCTTAATATTATTTAATATTTAATTAATATTTAATAACAGCATCTGGCAAGTCCTTGGGAAGGACTCAGCAGGTGGACAAAAAATGCCAATCCAGTTTAAACATCTGTCCAACTATGCAACAAACCAATAGTAATAATTAACACATTGCTTACCATCAGCAATTGCTTTTCCTTTGAGACTCTTAATGCCCCCAGGCATAGGTTTGCCATCAATGAAAAACTCAAGAGTGCCATTATTGAGCATAATCAGAAGGTGAATCCAAATATTTTCCTCCAAGTATTTCATAATCGTGATCTTAGCTATATAAGTCATATTAGACTGCAATGGCATGTAATAGAACCCTAAAGTAAGATGGGATTCATTTGTGCCTATTTTTACTCCATAATATATTAGTCCATTATTATTGTCCTTTGTTATTATAAATCCATCGTTGTTGGCACTAGGAAGTACCCATGCTGAAAATGTGAAGACACTAAGTATTTTGTTTTTACTAACATGGAGCTCTGGCTCAATTATCCCATATGCATCTTCTTCACCACTAAAATATAAAGCATCTGTTCCAGTGTGATGCCGTCGCATGTGAGGCTTTGACTTCACTGAATCTGTAAACTTTCCAAGCAATAAGAAGTCAATCATTAGAGGTAATCCTTCTCTGAAGGTGCTAGATAATATTTCCCAGCCAATCCTGACAGTTCCAAAAGTTCCCTGATGCCTCCATACTGTAAAACTGGTAAAGCAGGACGTGTCATCCTCAGACTGAATATCTTCTGCTACTTCTCTGTCTTGGCTCTGCGGATCTAAGATAAACACTCCATAGGGATCATCATTAATTGGGATCATCACAGTCACAGAAAGTTTGCTTTCTGATAACTGGCCACCAGGAATCCCACCTATAAGAAAGCCAAGAAATTATTTTTATAACTCATACACACAATGTTATCAGCTTATTTATTTATCTACTTATTTAAGAGGATGCTCAGTCTACTGAGGTATGCTCCTTCTTTTTTCCCATTGTTACCTTTACAGTATCTTTAGAGGCAAGTAAATCTGAAAGGCCAACTAGCTGGTCAAAGACCACCCAGTGAAGAATATGATTGAATAGGGAGTTATTACATATGAAACGTTTTCTGGTTCCAGTCCTTGTTAACATTGGGACTGTATGACCCTTATACATTATGCCCAACCACTCCATGCTAGCCAAAAAGGAAGACCAAGAACCCTATCCTGTAGGAATCAAGAGATATAAATCAAGAAAAAGGCTTCCTCAGTTTGACCTCCCACTTATAAAACCATGTCCTCTGGGGCTCCTTTTCTGCAACATATCAAAAGCCAATCCAAATGGGTCTTCAAGATGAAGGCTGCAAATAAAACTGAAGCAACCACACCAGAAAGTATGTTCTGAGGCTCATGATGTATCTTTTCTTATGTAATACGTGCTTATTGTGTTTTTATGTTTTTAAACCACATACAATCATAGCAGGAAGTGGCACATTAAATAGATCACCAAGTATGTAAATGTACCTGAAGCATTCACAAGTTTTAAAGTATAAAATTCATTGAATTCTGGAATGTTATCAGGAATAGCATGAAGCATTATAGGCTGTGACTTTTCACCCTCTATAAACCATACAGTTCCAGACACTTCATAGAATTCTTGTCCAGGATCTAAAGCAGAATTATTGCCAAATAGTTGCCAGGCCAAAGAAACATTGCCAAAGTAGCCTCTTTGCCTCAGGATCCTGTATGGTAGAAAAAAACAAAACTATTTTCAGAGTTACATTTTTTCAATTCTCTACATGATCCATCTAAAATATATATTTTAGAGGGCAATGAAGAATACTATGAACATATGTAATATTCCCCGTGTTAAAGGACCTATTCAATGGAATGCAAATTGGGAATATACATTTATCTCCTTTGAGTTTTCACAAGGACATTAAAAACCCTGGCTGTGATCCAAAGAGCTACTTTAGGTGTGCTCAAAAGGTACTGTAGCCTATGACCATGGAGAGTTTTCTTTTTTGTTTCCTCAAGCAAAAGACTCCTTACCATTGCCAACATGCCATAGTATCATTGTTGCCTTAAACACACAATACTTGGGCATGAAAATAGCCAGATGGGTTCTGGTATCCCTCCCCAGGTAATGCTATATAGGATTATGATATAAGATTTGAGCAATATTAGACTATTTTGAAATAATTATTTTGAAATCTTTTTGGGATATACTGAAATCTTTGAAATCTTTACATTAGCAGCTGATTATTTTCAAAATCTTAAACAGCTGACCCTTGGATATTTAAGTGGATTGTAAAGGATTATGTTTTACAACAGGACTTTGTACAACATCATCTAATGGGATCTTCCTAACTATAAAGATTCTGTTTGTTTTTTACAATCACCTAGTAAAGTAGTATGAATTATTAATCATAAATAATAGAATACACACAAAATCAAGAAAGATGTTTCAGTTCAAAGAACTTTTGCTGGTTGCTTCTTTGTCCCAGCAACCCTACAGATACTCTTGGATATAATCTAACTCAATGTTTTTCAAACTTGGCAATTTTAAGATGTCTGGACTTCAACTAAAGCTAGCTGGGCAATTCCGGGAATTGAGGTCCAAACATCTTAACGTTGCCAAGTTATTTAACAATTTAATATTTAACAATATTGATTTAGCATTTATTTAATGCGATTTAACACTGATTTAACAATAAAAACACTGAGTGGAATTCATTTTAATTATTCAACTTTTCCTGTATTCCATCTAAACTCTGATTGTGTATAAAAGCAGCATTTTTCCACTCCATAAGACATTGCCCTAAAATATATTTTAGATTCTTTCCTACCATCAGGATTATTAGTTTGTTTACTATAAATCATGTTAAAAGAAATGGGAGAAAGCAATAACAGCAGCCCCACTTTTAGGTAACACAAGGAAGACTCTCTTTCAGTGAGTTTCATTAACTTATTTGTTTCATCTATGAATCCACTGATTAAAAAGTATACCCCTCCTACTGAGTTAATTGAACTAAAACAAAAGTGATCATCTAAGCCAGAATAATATATTTAACATTTGAAACTGTAGAAACTTTCTTACATGCCAGACTGATTTCACATTCATATTAATATATTCATAATGAAAATAAAGATAAAGATGTCTCTTAACATAAAAAACTTTTTTAAAGCAAGCTTACAAAGCAACATGTATGTTGGTCAGTGTTTCCATTCAGTATGTTAAGATAGATCATCTAGATCAGGGGTGTCAAACTGCCGGCCTGTGGGCTGGTTGCATCATATGGAGGCCACACCAACCCCAGCTCCAACAATGTAAAAAACGTTGCGATACGTCACGACATGTCACGTGATATGGCGACTTTGACACCCGTGATCTAGATGATATTATTTTCTCTTCAAATTTCTTTATAATAAGAATTTATTATTGATTATTTATTTCTTATATTGATTTTATAATAAAGTTTTGTATTTTTAGCAATAAAATATTTCTCACTATGCTATCTTTCACTGCACAATCATTGCTTATTACTTTTTGGATTTTATTTAAATCTAAAGGATAACATGAAAAATCTCCCAGTAGGATATTTCAGATTTAGAAGTGTAAACTCTCAGGGAAGTTTCAGAATAAAGAAACCCAACACAATAATGATGGCAGTAATTGCAATTACTAATACAATCAAGTCCACAGTTGAAAAGTGATCAAATAATGAAAAGTGCAGATTGTGCAAAGGAGCAGAAGAAACAGTAGATCATATACTCAACTCATGCAAGAAGATTGCACAAACATATTATAATCAATGATACCATCAGTAATATTATTCACTAGAATAATTATTCATCTGTACAAATTATCATGAGCCAGTAATCAAAAATTGGTTGGGATACAGAGTTGAAAAAGTCATTGAAAATGAGCAGGTTAAAATATTGTGGAAATTTCAAATACAAACTGATAGACTCTTGGCTTGTAACACATCAGATTTAACTGTGGTTGAAAAGGTGTGGATAATTTTTATGACAATACAGGAGATAATACAGTAGAAGGCAAAGACTTGGACAAATCACATAATACCAAGATTTGAAAATGTATTTATTTATTTGTTCATATTTCTGAACCACTCATCTCCCTTAAAGAGGGAACATTTATCAGCACACTGAGTTAAATACCAAAAAATCTTGGGCAGCACTTTGAAAATCTGCATATTGACAAAATTTCTACCTGTCAATTACCAAAGGCACTCTGCTTGCATCTGCATGTATACTATACTGATGCATTATGATATCCTAGGTTCTTGGGAAGAACTCAGTGCATATGATGGCCAACACCAATTAAGGAACTGGCATCTGTATTTCACATTTTTTGTGCTTATCATAATAATAATATTTGAAAATACCTTATTCTTAAGATAGCAGAGAAACCGATGTCAGAGGGAAAAAAGCTCTTGATAAATTGCTATGTTTTTGCATAGATTTAGCATATAATAATTCAACTTGAAGGTGTCGCGATTCCCATGCCCGTTTTATTAATTATATTTTGTGTCATAATTTCTTCACTCTAATTTTTAGCATTCTTTTCTGTGTTTCACCAAGTGATCTCCCTTTGTCAGCAAATTAATTAAATATCGTTTTGATAATGAAATTGATTCCTCATATATTTAATAACTTTCCATTATGCTATAGTAAAAAATTACTATTTGAGTGCAACATTTGGAGGAGATTTGGAACCTGCACCAAAGTTTTTTGCATGGTCCAGAAGCTGTAGGCTGTGCAATCTTGTCATTCAAAGAAAAATGGCAAAACGTTATATTCAAATCTACTTTCAAAAATGGGTAATGGTTGCAAAGATTCCAACTACAATTTCATTTTTAATTTTGCCTTGTGAATGTGTAAAACTCTTCATTTATTTAACTGTGGATATGAAAATTGTTTATGACACTATTTGCATATTGTAAAAACTACCATAAAATGTAAGTCACACTGAAAAATATTTCAAAGTATGATTCAAGATACTTAGTGGAATTGGCAAAGGATATTTACTTGAAAGTTACTTACAAAAAGTCATTGGTTTTGCCTTCTTCTACTGCTTTGCCTGTAGACTCAAGTAAAAAAATGCCATTTGGATCATCATTTGCTTCAATTATAACTGTTGCCATTCTAGGTTTGTAAACAACTGTGTCTCCTAAAAAAATGATTTTGTTATTAATAAACAGACAAACAGATAGAATTGTATCTGGAGAAAACATGTCTCCACAAATATTCCAAATACTTAAGAGCAGGTTCAAAGGTGAATCTTCCCCCTTTGACTATGAAGAAAAGTGATTATGACTTCCCTAATACTTGCTTGGTACATCTCTCCCATCTTTGGGTCTTCAAGTACATAGGTATTTTAGGCCCAAACATATTTTTATTCATTTTTTTAATCCAAAGATAGCAAATAAATACTTTAAAATACTATATAATATATATAATCTTTCTTCTCCCTGCAAAACTCATAAAGAGATTATCCAAATAGGTTCTAAAAGTAAAATGCATAAAAATAGAAAACAAGACAAAACTATACAATGTACTTTATACTTTAGTCACAGTGGTGAACAAGCTATATTATAAATAGCCCTAAACATATGCTTCAGAATAGAATAACAGAGTTGGAAGGGACCTTGCAGGTCTTCTAATCCAACCCCTTGCCCAGAAAGGAAACCCTATACCATTTCAGACAAAAGGTTGTCCAATCTCTTCTTAAAATCTTCCAGTATTGGAGCATTCACAACTTCTGGAAGCAAGTTGTTCTACTGATTAATTGTTCTAGCTATCAGGAAATTACTCTTTAATTCTAGGTTGCTTCTCTCCTTGATTAGTTTCCATCCATTGCTTCTTGTCCTGCGTTCAGGTGCTTCAGAGAATAGCTTGACTATATTGCAGGCTTTAAAGATATTACACTTTGGTGTGAAGAATGTCAAAAGGTATTGGCCAAGCATCCCTAATTGCCTATAACATAAATCAGGGGGCAGAAAACAATCTAAAGAAACAACAGTAGATTAGTTTATATAGGTTGAATAATAATTTGAACCTGTAGAGTTGAAGAGAATTATATAAAAATTCTCATCTGATTCAGGAATATCATCATCATGGATAAACATAGTTATATTCTGTTCTTTTATTCCAATATCAAACCAAAGGACTCCATTTTTTTCATAAGACAAGAAATCTTCTTCAGCACTGGCATTTCCATCAATAGTGGCATATAAAACAGAAACAACATCAGCACCAGAGTCATTTCTTACAACTACAAATTCAGCAATGCCACCTTCATGAACCTTCAGAATAACAGGATCTGAAATATAATTAAGTCATTAGGTGTAAAAGCATGCAAAACATCAATATGTATACATTGCTTTTCAAAAACTAATATTAAATAAATGTTATATTAATTTCAATGCCTAGCTTGTGATATCACATTAAAACATAGATTATGTCAATCATAGTTAAGAATCCACATTGCTTCTGTGATTTTCAAGCTTGCTCTTATTTGATTTTGTACCCCATCTAAAATCTAACCCCAAGTTGATGATTGTTGATCTTGACAATGTTGCTGAACATACCTCATAATCATTCTTATTATTGGCCATGGTAACTGAGGTGTGAAAAATTGTAAGAGGGACAGTCTGATGGAATAGTTAAACGTACTGAGAAATTGACATGAAGCCAGCTGTATGACTTTGGCCCAGTCTCTCTCTCTCTCAGCTCTAGGAAAAAGACAATGGCAAACCAGCTCCAAAAATCTTGCCCAGAAAACTGCAGGGATTCATTCAGACAGTCATCAGGAATCAATAAAAAAACTCAGGGGCACACACATGAAAAAAATGTAAATCATAATATCTAAAAATCAGAGTACAGTATTCACTCCTACTATAATCAATCCATAAGGCAAAAAACAGCTTTTTAAAGTAAAAAAAGAGAGAGAGAGAGAGAGAGATGGGAGAGGTAAGAGACAAACCAGGCATTACCGTATATACTCGAGTATAAGCTGAGTTTTTCAGCACATTTTTTGTGTTGAAAAATGCCCCCCTCGGCTTACACTCGAGTCAGTGTCTCGAGAACTGAGGAAAGTGAGTACCGTAGTTCTTTTTTGGGGGGAAATCTATGCAATCACTAAAAGCCTCTTGCGGGGCTGCGTGCTGCATGCACCCCCTGGATTTACTCGTGCATCCGGGGAGGGAGGGAGGGAAGTCTCCTGCTCGGCCGCTTGCTTGACTTGCAGCCGATTTCCAGGGAAAGCCTCTTTACAGCAAGCTGCTTTTGGGAAGCGCTGCCTCCTTCCATTCATCTCTTTGCTGCTGGAGAAATTTGCAATTGCCCGTGCGAGAGGCAGACGACAAGGAGAGCGGATTGGCACCCGTGGCTGTGGTGCGATGCTGGGGCTCCCTCTTCTTGACTAAACAAGCTCTCTTCCAGAAAGCTCTTGTGTGTTAGCTTGGTTGCTGATTGAGCTAAGGTTGTTGTACTTTTAAAGTTACGGTATTTTTGATACCATATTGTTTTTGTTGACCCCCTTTTCCACTTACAGAGCTAGGTTATTGTTTTTCTTTGAAATAAGTATTTATGTAATTTTATTGGTATCTATCTTCATTTTTTACATTTACCAGTAGCTGCCTCATTTCCCACCCTAGGCTTATACTCAAGTCAATATTTTTTCCCAGTTCTTTGTGGTAAAATTAGGTGCCTCGGCTTATATTCGGGTCGGCTTATACTGGAGTATATACGGGTAATTATTTTACTAAGGACTTGATAAATAAACCCTGATTAATGTTTCTAGCCATAGATTTGTGGAACATAATGTTCCAAGCATAACTCATACAGTTCTAAATGTTCACTCTTGGCTCCAGAGCTTCCTATAATTGTACTATTCTTGTATTTAAACATAAACTAGTAGAATGGCACTAACCTGCAAAGTAAATTGGATAATCGTTTTTGGTGATCTGCAATGTTGCTGTCGTTATATTTCCTAGGCTAGCACCTCCTGTCGTATTGAAAAGACTAATTATGAATACCTCCATTTCTTCAGGTATCTTGGGGAAAAAAATCACAAAATTTATTTATTAATAGTATTAAATTAATTCAAAGATGCCAATCATTAATTGAATACTTGCATAGTAATAGTAATGAAATTTAAATCTTATGAATAAAACATTTTATATAGCCATTAGATATAATTTAAATCTGGTCCAAAGGATATATTGTTTTTATTATTCCATTTCAGTGTTTTCAGCTAATCAGCTAAAAGGAATGTTTTAGCAGAGTTCTCATTCAAGAATGCAGATATATCTTTGTTGACCTTTCATATTTAAGTTTAGAGAATACTCGGTACTTGTACTGTTACTCCTCTTGGAATTATTATCATCATCACCATCATCCTGTGTTATAAATTTATTTGCCCCTCTTCCACAATTAACAATTACTGTTAAAAATGATTACCTCATCGGGGACTGAATAAATGGTGATATCTTTTGAAAATTCCTCATTTCCAAAAAAAATTGTTCCTTGGTCTGGAAAAATATCTTTCGTAGAAATTGAGTTCGTTGCCCAGGATACACTCACACTCCCAAAGGTTCCTTGGTTTCTTATTATTTTAAAAACAGCTTTGAAACAAAAGCATGTAGATACCTTCATCAGATAACTTCCAAGACAGGTAAGCAAAACTTAATATAAAACTAATATAAATGAGGTTTGTTTTTTAATGTTATAATGTCACATAGGTAAATTTACATTAGAAACAATGAACAAATGTCCAAATTACTATTTTGCCCACAAAATGCACATTAAAAAGTACTTCGGATGTCAGTGTTGTACAACTGAATGAGTTTAATAGTTTAAATGCTATGACTATGATTTGTTAGCCACATGATTGGATTCACATATGCAAAGCATAAATCTAGGTATTACCAATACAGCACAGTGATTGGATTCATACTGTACATAATACAGAAAGGAAAAAGCATAGCATAATACAGTATGTAAACCTAGCTGTTGTGAAAATAGTTTGTGCTGATTAGGAATGCCAAAGTCTAGTTGGAGAAATAGCAATGCAAGTCAACTCTTCCCATGACTGATTCCAGATATCTGTACTCCTGATTCAGTACCAAATATTAAATCCATAGAGTGTAGTTTAATTATGATAATTAAAGTTGTGCCACAATGACTCTTGTAATATTAGTGTCTCAGGTAGAAGATAGAAACAATGAACTTTGGTAACTACATAGTAGAAAGGTTAACAGTTTTGTTTACTTATTAAAAGTATACCCATATAATTTCTCATTTATGAAAATCTTTTTATATCAAGAAAACAATGATGAATTACCAGCATAGAAGTCTTCCGCTTTACTTTCATTTATTGTTACTATCAGCATATTGTCAACAAACTGAATAATTCCATGTGGATCATTGTTTTTCAGAATTGTGATGTTGACTCTTGTAGCATTTCCCAGCTTACTTGGCAGGTCACCATGGCTACTGAGGAGCACTGAATAAAATTCATCTAACTAGAACAGGGAAACTGAATCAGAACAATAGGGACAGAACTAGCAACATAGTAATGAATAGATATTTGAATGAATGCTACAAACTTGACTAACGTGAACTTTTACTACTATTTGTTTTTAAAGGCTTCATTCGTATATTTTTCAATCCAGTTCAAAATGGTTAATGATTCATTCACACTTCTTTTCTGCTACAGTACAATCCAAGTTATATTTTGGAAGAGATAAAGCATCCCTCCATAATAATGATGAACATTAGAAAAATACTGTGATGGATCAATTAATATATCCTATTTTTGTATACTGTATAATCTAGATATTACTTTGATTTTAAATGTCTTGAATTTTCAATATAATGGACAAAATCTGTCCATGCTCTATATGCTTCTACACATTCATAAAATCCTATTCACCATTCTATTCATACTATACTGCACAATATACAGTACATAAAATACACATGCAAAAAACATATTTGCCATTTTATGCCTGTGTAAAATTTTATTTTAATTTAATGGACATTCTGTTTTAATGGAGAATGCTGATTTCAATTCCACACAGAATGTTGACTAAATAAAATCTATGCAATACTTATGTTTCATAGATTTATTTTTTATTTATATCTTGCCTTTATTACTTGTATAAATAAGGTGGCAAACATGCTTAATACTTCTTTCTCCTTCTATTTTTTCACAACAATCCTGTGAGGTGGGTTGGGCTATGAGAGAGTGAATGGTCCAAGTCATCCAACTGGCTTTCATGCCTAAGGAAGGATGAACTCACACTCTTCTGGTTTCTAGCCTGGTGAATTCCTGCTGGTATTTTCTGGCTGCAAGCCCATGAACATTTAACGGAAGGAAGACTAGCAGAACAAAGGTGAATGTACTTCAAAGTGCACTCAGTTTAAAATTAGTAAACATTACATTTCTCTTCAGTCATAGAAAATATCTTTAAGGTATGGGGACTGGAAATTACTACTTAACCCCATAGGTAGGTCATAATTTACAGACATTGGGAAAGAAACCTGAGAGCAAAACCTGTTTGGTCTAGGGTGGAAATCTATAACTGAGTATTATCACTGACTCTATATCAACAGATGACATTATCCAGCAGTTTCATGTAGAATGGAGGGAGAATAGAGTCCTGCGAGGCCCTCTAATATAGAAATCTAGGATTTGATTAGACTAGACTTCTTTCCTCCACCAACACCAACTAGAAATTGTCAGGAAAAAGGGAGAGTACCAGGATAACACTACTTGAAAATACCTAAACTTTGAAGCCAGTGCAGAAGGATACCATAATCAAAGATATCAAAAGCTGCTGAGAGATCAAGTAATGCTAGGATAGGTGCACTACCTCCATCCCAGTCCCACTACAAATCATTTTTAAGTATGATCAATGCAGTATCAACACTGTTATCTGATTCATAAAAAAGAACAATATTCATTTCATCCAAGGCCTTTTGTAGCTGTAGGCAGACTATTTTTTTCAATAACCTTTTCTAATAACCAAAGGTTAGAGGCTGGATAAAAATATAAAGGTGGTCACACTTACAGGTGGTCCTTACTTACCAGCTGCCTCATTTAATAATCATTCAAATTACAATAGTGTAAACAAAGCTTTGCAACCAATCTTCCCATTTATAACCATTAGAGTGTCCTGTAGTTATATGATTATAATTCAGGTGCATCATAGCCAGCATGTATTTACAATCATTGCAGCATCCTGTGGTCCTTGACTGATATTTCATTTCATTTCATTTCATTTCATTTTATTATATTTATACCCCGCCCTTCTCCCGTAGGACTCAGGGCGGCTTACAGCCAGTTAAAAACAGTTTGATACAATACAATACAAAGTTTTAAAAAATCATTAAAAATAAATATTTAAATCGGCCGCTTCTACTAAAATTTGGCTAAAACCAATTTAAAATACCCCTAGGCCAGTCCTGCCCGCTGAAACAACCAGGTCTTAAGGGCGCGGCGGAAGGAGGGGAGATCCGGAATCACCCGGATCTTTGTGTGCTTTGCAAATTGGTTTGAGACAAGCAGAGTTAACAGAGAGGATGGAAGTAAAATTTTAAATCATGTTCACAACTGAGTTGACTCACTTAACAACCAAGGAGAAATGAAGTTATAAGCCCTTCATAGTGACATGATGTTTCAGTTAGCAACTGTGTCACTTAGCAAAGGAATTGCTAGTCCCAATTGTGATTACTAAGTAAGAACTATCTGTGTAGCATTTCTAATAGATTCAAACCTTCTCAGCTAAAAACATGTCTTAGTCATCTCCAAGGGACATACCTCGCTGGAATCTATCTTAGAGTGATTCAGAATGACAAGAATTTTTTCTGGGAATTATGGACGTAGAGAGGCCACAAAGCACAATCCAAGACCATGGACACACCTTAATTCAGGCAGTGGTGAGGGCCTCAATTAAGCCATGGATCAGAGCCTCAAGATCAATCCCAAGCTTTCTCTGAAACCTAACAGGATCCATTAAACAATATTGGTTACTATTAGCCTAAAAGAGACATCAGTAATTTTCCCCTCCTCTTTTTACCTCTGGAATCTCATCCATCCTTGTTAGCAAAGTAATTTTAATTTCTCTTTCCCCAGGTTTAAACTCCAGAACTCCTGTATTTCCATAGAACTCATTGCTGTCTCTTGGCTCTATAGTGTAGTGTAGAAATTGCTCCATAAGTGCTCCTCTGGTACGTACAATCTGGAGTTCAACAGATTCTCCTTCCTGTAAAATAAAATTATTTTTTTCAAAAATGGAATGCAAAAGATCAGTATTGATATAGGATATGACTCTCTTCAAATTCAAATATGAATATTTACCTTTATCCTATAGGGACCTCTGGAAGATGAAGCAAACTCAAACACTCCTCCAGGGTCATCATTTTCTGGAATGATCAGTTTGCGACTAGTATATCCAGATTTCAGGATTTGATTTTCCACATTCACACTGAAGAAAAAAATTAAATGCATATGGAATATGCAGATTGCTTGAAATTAAATGGACCAAAGCCCTATGGTAAAGTATAAATATAGTGACCATATATTTTTGGAATAAAATAAAGGACAAACCTGAAAAATCCAAAAGATGTTCATAAGAAATATAGGAATGTATATATTCATAGCATAATGCTTTATAAAGGAAAATTCAAGAGCAAAACCAAAAATTGTATTCTAATAAAAAAAATCAAATAGTATGTGTAAATTTAGTTTAAAAAATTCAGTTCATGAATGTGAAAGACTGTGCATTAAATGGTACTTTTTACATGGTAAAAGTTACATGACCAAAATAAAGGACAAAAGTGAGTTTTTGAAAAATTAATAAATATAACAGAGAGCTTTCTAAAGTGAAGGATTGTTCTTTATAATATGGTCACTGTAATTATAAAGCATTAGCGGTTCTGTATGCCACCACTGCCAACTGAGATTTTTGCCCTCCCCCGTCCCACTCAAAAAAGCCTTGTCCTGAACTGGCTTCATTCAGGAAATAGGTAAAACTGTTGCTCTACCAAAGGTATGCAAACATTGCCTAAGCCCCCCCCCCCCAAAAAAAAATCTCTTTTACACTGACAGTGTAATTTGTCAGAAAACAGTCTGCTAATACTTACAGTAATCAAATAAAATATTTCCTCAGTATTCCATATCACATAAAGAATCCTCTCTGAGGATTATTTGGATTTTAGAAAACAGATTGCACATTACATAGCAAAACAGAGAAGTCTGTGTGTACAACACACATTAAAAAAACAGGTGAAGCTTTAGGCAGACAATTACAGTTGCCATCTTGACTTGTTCTTAATCTGTGGACACCCCAAAGAGAAAATTTATTTAATCACTGACTGTTTCCAGTTCAGTAAAGCAGCCTGGCAAATAGAACTAAGTTTAATTGTTTCACTGCCAGGATTTTTGTGTACAAGTATTTAATTTAAATCTTGTTAAATATTACTTCAGGTTCCTAATTACTGTATATGCCAGGTTGTATAAAAACTACAATTTACATGTAACAGTAGTCTGTTTTAAAAGCCTGTTGTACTAATGTTCCTTTGCTAAGTGTGCAACCTATACACTTTTGCCTAAGGACGAGTCATACTGAATGCAGCCATTTTGCTTCTAAATAAACAGCATTCATTGAATTGTGCTATACATGATTCAAATGCTGCAATGACAAAGTATAATTTGATTAAAGGCTTCTGTAAATAATCCCTTTTTTGTACTTGGTTCCTACAGCTCAGTGAAAAGAGATTTGGGGTACAGGTTTTTCAAACCATCTACTGTTCTGGGCTATCTTCAAACATCAAGCCATGCATTCGTAACCATTATTGTTGTTGTTAGAATCCCCCCTCCTCCCAAAAATGTTTTCAATCCACCAAGACATGTTACCAAGGGGCACTAAACAGCATGCTTTCCCTGAGAAGGCTTGCAAGGCAGAAACAAAAACCAAAGGAGATTCCTGTCCAGACCAACCACTTCCGAAACAAAAAAGCTAGTTCACTGAAAACAAAGGCACAGCTTGCGGCACTTACCCAAAGTACACGACAAACCTTTCTGTCTCTACCCTGTCAATGTGGAGAGAAAGAAATGGGGGACAGAAATAAAACCACTGTTGGCCAAGTTCTTTGTATGAGAGTTCTTTAGATGGTGGAAATCAAATGAAAGATTATAATACAGCACTTTTCATCGGCCTACTGTTTATTATGGGAATCCTTGTTCCAGCAATGCTAGCAAGAGGTTCAGGAATTTGCACTTGTAATTCAGATGACCCCATGACCAATTGGGATGTCAAGGACTCTTTAAGCCCTTCATTACAGCATTGCTCAAAGAGTTAGTTGCTGACTGCCCTAGTACAGTGTTCAGGAATAGAAGCCCAGCAGTTGAGTCCATTTTTATTCAGGACTACTTGTAAGTACTCAGTGCTTTGGATCAGACTAAAAAAGTCTGTTTTGTGTGTAAGTGTATTGCCTCCAGCACCTGTCAATCTACTAAACAGTCCTAGTAATTGTGTAAGTTAACGAAGGACAGAGGTTGCCTTTGTCCAACATTGTATTGATGGGCGTATGAGGGTGTATTAATAAACTAATGATAAGAATAATACAAATGAGAAAAACATTTCCAAGCTTATAATAATTTCATCTAAAAATAAAAAGTTAGAACTGAACAAAGAATGATTTTTCCCTAAAAAAATCTGAAATGAAATAAAACTTTAAATCCTACCCCTAATATTCTAAGACAACAGTTCCTTTGATTAATTATAAATTGCTATCTCTATTTCTGTGGTTTGTTATATCTGTAAATGCAGAAGGTTAAAATTCTTTTGTAGAAATGTGAGTTCCCACTACATTAGGAAAACTTTTACAGTTGAGAAAACACAGAAAATTAAGGATTCATCTGGGAGGAGGAAGATGAGCAAGCATTTTAGAAATATAGAATATATCATCTATATAGATGACATAATCATTACACATTCATAATATAGAAGCAAGAACATAAAGATAAGTGGGACAACTGCATACAGCAAATATAGTTTTGGAGATCTAGATTCTAGGTAAAAGCAAAGCAATATATACATTTACATCATGCTTCCCTCTTATGAAATTAACTTATGCTATATCACGATGTCAAACTCGCCGTGTCACGTGACGTGTCCCGATGTATCACAGCTTTTTTTGTATTACCGGAACAGGGGTGGACACGGCCTCCACTTGATGCAACCGGCCCGCAGACTGGCAGTTTGACACCTCTGTGCTATATGATATCAAGCTAAAAGCTATACTATACTTGAGCTAAAAGCTTAATGACATGTATCTTTAGTTAACAGTGTCTATCAATTTCATATCTGCTATAACTTAATAACCCAATAATTATCTTTATTTTTATGATATTAGCACAGTTCATTTTTCAGTATTATAGTTATATAATTAAATGAATAAATTTTCAAGATTATCCCAGAATCAGGCATGACTGAGAAGGACATCTGACTGAAACTTTGCTTTTTTACCATCTCAGTTAAACAAGTTCAAATCAGATATTTTGTGGTGGCCACTTTATAAACTAATTAGACATAAAGCAAAAGAAAAGAGCAAAAATCTTTATTTTAGTCAAAGACCAGAGTAAAATTACTGAGTTATAAGTAAAACTGTATGTTTCTACAAGATTAGATAAATGATAAAATATAGTTCATAAAGTATAATAAAATAATTAGGTAATATTGTTAATTTATATATCTATAAATTATTAAACTATATAGGTTCAGTTTAAGTGTAAAGTAAAAGAAAGATTAAGCAGATAAAATGCTTAAATTTACTCTGCAGAAATGTAAAAACAGCAAATAATTTAGTAAAGGATGCTGTCAAATTCTACCTGAGCATATCCTCTCCAAGAAAAGTATTAAATTGTGATCAGCTAACAGTCAGATGTCACCCTTGTGAATCTCATTGTGCTTTCTGGACTGAATGCCAGGTTAGTATGCCTAAAATTACAGTTTAAATACGTGTCATCTATTATATTATAGTTAAGTTTTATATAAGCCTTTTATATTACTGCATCAGAAGAAAGCATTATGTTAATTTGTTTGTTTTTTTTAAATTATCAAAGAGTACCTGTCTAATGATAATGTTAGGGTCTCATTCATTTCTGGTATGTCATCAGCTTGAATAGTAATGTTGATTGCTGTGTCACTTTGTCCAGATAAAAACAGAACTGAACCAGAAAAAGGCCATATGTCATCAATAGTCACAGCTTTTGAATTGAGGCCTGTAGGTGTTAGGCTCCAGAATACAGTGGCTTGTCCATCTGTCCCATCTCGATGCAAAGGAATGGAGCTCTAGAACAAATACCAAACTTGTAACCTTTGCAAACCTTGATTTTCCAAGCTATAAGCGATCTAAAATTTTACAGCGTATTTCTGAAACTGAGGATATATGTACATATTTGTCCTCAGTTTATTTATCCTGCAACATTTTGTGCATAATAAAAAATAAAAGTGATTGATAAAGTAGCTCTTTAAACACTGACAGCTTGATCATCACCATGAAATTATAAGAAAAAAAAGTTGTGGTGCTTGATTTTAGCTGTAGTGAAAAAGTACAATTTTTATTGTATCTACAAAACTCACAATTTTAAACGCTGACAAGGCTTTTCATAGTCAAGAACAAATGAATTCTAAACTTCAGTTTAAAACTATGATTTAGACTTGCTAAAATAATCATTCATTTCAGGGCTATGACTACATTAGAAATATTTCATATATGTGTTACAAAACATTGCTGCATTAAAATATATGCTATTTTTTTCTGAATACTTTGCTTAATTTATAAGAGCAAGGTATAGAAAGATAGACTTACTACTGCAAAAAGAGAATCTTCTGGCTCAAGTAAAATTATTGGAAGGTTGCTGATAAAGCCAATTTCTCCATTTGCTATATCAGGTGTAATTCTTAATGATACATTTTTAATTTCACCTAATCGAGGACTTACAGAAGGAATTCGAGGAATAATATTCAGTAATTCAACTTTTTCCAGCTAAAATAAGAAAAAGATTTTAAAATTTTCTGTTATTAATAGACATGCAATAGAATATATTTTAGCAGTTACTTATTAGTATGACTTATTAAACTGGAGCTTTACTTTTTGCTATATCAATATTCAATACATTAAACGTTTTGTGATCCCAAAATGAAAAAAAGTCAAGCTTTTACCTTAATTATAACAGGCATGCTAATATCCTTGTCAAAATTAAAGATTTTTAATAGCATGATCACTATATTTGTACAAGCAGCACAAATTTAATATTGAATCAGCTACATTGACAAAGAAACAGTGAAATAGGAAGTCATCTAAAAATTATCTAAGAATAGCAGACAACCTTTTTTTGGATTAAAAAAAAATAACCAGTGTAAAGATTAGGTAGCATTAAGATGGAGGGACCAGTAAAAAAAAGCTTACAACCATAAATGGCTAAATAGAAAATTGGAAAAGAAGGAAATAGCCAATCACTTCTACATTTTTGCCAAGTAAAAAATCTGGTTGGATCCATGTAGTGACTTGTATAAATAAGTAAATATAAATATAGAAATAAGCCTGGAAATTAGAATAAGATACAGGAGATGCTTTTTAGATAATTGAGAAAGCTAAAGAATATACAAAAGAAGTCACTATGTGCTTCATTGCCTATAGAAAAGCATTTGAGTGTATCAATCATGTCAAATGCTATGATGTATATTTAGGTAGTCCTTGACTACAATTGGGCCCGTAATCTTGGTAATTGAGCAAAGCGGTCATTGCAGATGGTAATCACAGGATTGCTGAACACTTAGCGACAGTCATAAATTTGAACAGGTTGCCAAGCATCTAGATTACAATAATTTGACCCACAAGGATAGTTTTGTGATAGTCAGAAGTGCTTTACAGGCTGTAAAGCATTGTTAAATGAATGGTCATAAAGTGCATACCTACATACCTACCTGCATACCTACAAAGATCAGACTCATGCAAGCCATGGTATTCCCTATTACATTCTATGGAAATTAAAGTTGTACTATGAAGAAACAAGATAGGAAAAGTATTAAGACTTTTGAATTTTGTTGTCATAGAATCCTGACAGAATACTGTAGATAGACAAGAAAAGAAACACATGGATCATCAACCAAAAATTCTCACTCAAGGCATAAATGACCAGGCTCAAATTATCTTATTTGGAACATATTATTGTTTGTAAGGACCTAGCTCTCTGGAGAAGGCTCTCATGCTGGGAAATACAGAAGGAAAGAGAAGAGGATGACCAGCAGCAAGATGGACACTCAGTTACAATGGTGATATGGGACCTGTTGGAAGAGCTAAAGCACCAGGTTAAGGATAGATCATCATGGAGAAAACCTATTTACATGGTTGCTATAAGTTGACAACAACTTGATGACATATCAATCAGAATAGAGCTGGAAGGGACCTTGGAGGTCTTCTAGTCCAGCCCCCTGCTCAAGCAGGAGACCCTACACCATCTCAGACAAGTGACTGTCCAGTCTCTTCTTAAAAACCTCTAGTGATGAAGCACCCATAATGTCTGAAGGCAAGCTGTTCCACTGGTTAATTGTCCTCCTCACTGTTAGGAAGTTTCTCTTTAATTCCAGGTTGCTTCTCTCCTTGATTAGTTTTCATCCATTGTTTCTTGTCTTGCCTTCTGGTACTTTGGAAAATAAATTGACCCCCTCTTTCTTGTGGCAGCCTCTCAAATACTGGAATACTGCTATCATGTCCCTCCTAGTCCTTTTTTCTAGACTGGCCATACCCAAATCCTGCAACTGTTCTTCATATGTTTTAGTCTCCAGGCCTTTAATCATCTTAATTGCTCTTCCTAGCACTTTTTCCACTCAACATCTTTTTTGTAATGTGGTGACCAAAACTGGATGCAGTATTCCAGATGTTTTTTTCTTTCTCTTTTCCTCTTTAGCCTATGAAGCAGGATGCTGACTGGAAGGTAATTTTTACACTATTCCTAAGTGAGAGGAAGCATTGATCAGTTATGGTGCTGCTTGTTCTCAGCGTTCCAAATTTTACAGGAGTAAAGACAATTCTATGGCTGGCTTTCATACACTTTGATGAGACCGAGAAATAGAAATGGAGCTGTGTGGAAGTGCCTTCTTCGCTGATATAGAAAACCTGGAACTTTTTCTTTACTTCCCATCTCTTTGTGCACCACAGTCTGGCTATAATACTTGGAAATCAAGAAGAGTCCTAACATATATACAAGACCATAACGTTTTCACAACTCTTGAGATATATATATAAATATCCATTCAAAATAATGTCGTGTTAATAATTAAAAAATAATTCTCATTTTTTCAATCCCTTCCCCCATTCTCTTCCCGTTTTCTTCAAATTTACTTGCTTTGAATCTCACACATAATTTTTCCCTTTCACAAAAAAAAAAAACCTGAAGAGTTTTATCTAAACATAAGTGCTACGGAAATTGATTTTCAGGAAAGTTGTACATTGGGAACTACAATTCATTATTTCTTTCTCATATGATAAGTTTTAAAAAATAGTAATTGATTGGATATTAGGAACATACAGATTATTTGAATGGCAAATCATGGCACGCTGATACATCTCTTTGAATAGTTGTGACATAATATTATGCATCACAAATTATTTGTGAGTTTTATGCATATAATTTATATACCTGTATTAAGAAATGGGCTCCATTTTGAAGAAATGCATCATTTCTTATTGGTATTTTAATGGTGTCATTAGGTTTTCCTTCTGGAAAGTAGAGAATACTTCTTCTGGAAGTGTTTAAAACACCTTCTTTAGCTCGTTCAGAATCCACAGGTCCAGAAGGAATATACATGATAATATAAAAGAGCTTCACATCTCCCACAGTTCCCCTTTGCCTTGCAAAGCTAAGGGACAAAAAGCGTCCATCTGGGCTGCTTTCTATCCTCTGATGCTCCAAATGACAGAACTGAATTACACCATAAACATCATCACTGTCCTGAATGTAGAACAAAAGCTACAAGAAGGACAAACAAAATTCTTGTTAAAAGCAAATTCAATCCCAGTTATATTTTCTCATCATTTATATGATTCTAATTGATATTTTAGCTCTCATGATAAAGTCTAAGAACTCAACATTTGCTATTCTAATTATGACTGTCATTAGCACATAATTTAATATGAAGGCGCATGAGACACATTGACATAAATCCAGAGCTTTCCCATATTCCAACATCTGGCTAGAACTGAGCTACTAATAGCATTTCAACATAAGTGGCCATACCACCAAGAAGGGTTTTAAATGTAAACCTTAAGGATATATCTTTATCACTATACTCTTAAATGTTCTGCTCACAAGCCAAAGGCATTTAGATATTCTCTAAAAGTAAGAGACCACTTAACACTACGTAACTAAAAGCAACAACTTTTTAGCAAGCAGGCAAACTTTTGCAGATATTGAGAAATAGCTATTATGCATCTTAGCATTAAGCATTCCTATGCAGTTTACATAAAAATCTAACATTCCATCTATTCTATTCTATTCTACTCTATTGTCCCTATCATTTTTGATAAATTTCCAAAAATAGGATTCTCTCATGGTAGAAAGCATTTCTTTCTCAAGATCAAAATTTCTCTAGTACAGGAAAGCATACAACAACTTATAATCCTTACAATATTATTCTAGTAAATATTATTTTATAGATTAAAAATAAGATGGCTATTCTTGGGTACATCTTAGCATTATTTTCTAAGCATTATTTTTCCCCAAACACCATCTCAGTGCTTGCAGCTTTTTAGAAAAATAAATGTAGACTTACCTCAGCTGGGTCACTCACTTCTGCCCCTCCTTGCATTGTATCATCTAAAATTTGAAGCAAATATGGCTCTGCTTCTTCAGGGATATTATCATCAATGATATTCAGATGGAGGGATGCCAATAACTGCCCTTGAGCAAAATGTAACACCCCTGAGTCTGGAGTGAGATCTGTTGTCACAGGTGAAGGATCTGTGCTATTGCGAGTTATAATCCAGGAAACTGAAATATTTCCATGTGTTCCACCATTCCTTACAACAGTAATGCCTTCATACCTACATGATGCACAAAGAATTAACAAGAGTTAATATGTGTAACATTGACTGGGACCAGTTGCAATACTGACTCCATTCTAGGTCTCTAAAATGCTTCAGATTTGATTTGAAAGAGGTGCTTTGGAACATGTTAGAACATGAAGGCAGATTCTCAGGTAGGTATTGTTTTCATACTTCTATATTTTCCAAAGTTTCTTACAAAGCATTGCACAGTTTCATTATTTTCCATTTATGTCACTGAAGCTCTAAGCTCCACCTATGAATGCACGCAGCCAGAATTGTTACTCATAATTTTGATAATGGTAAGAATAATAAAATTAAATAGAGCAGGAAAGAAAAAGAGAAAGGAAGAAATAAAAAAGATGAAAAAGAAAGGAAAAAAGATGAAAAAAGAAAGGAAAATATAAAGATATAAAGAAGTGGTTTTTGATCTGTCAATTGAATTTTAACTTTTCTTTCTAACATTACATCATGACTCTCTTCTTTCCATAAACTACCTTGTCTAATCGTAAAACCATTAATCATAAGTTCATTTTTTTTCTTTTTTCATGAAAAAAGACCATAAAGGGTTTCCAGTCACCGATAAATGTAGATAGTTTTTTCTCTAATCAAACAAGTAAATTTTGCCATCCATAAAGCCCCATAATCTTCACCAAACCTTCCTCTGTTGTAGATATTACCAAATCTTTTCATCTTGCTGCAGTTAACATATATAAAAACTGTTCCATGGCTTTTTTCTAACTGTTTATCCATCAGTCCTGGGTGAAGTTCTGGTTTCAGCTGAATATTAATCTTTAAAATCCTCTCAATCATTCTATGTATTTGAGCCCAAAATTTTCTAGCTTTTCACTTATGACTATTTCTGATAGGCATAGCTATTCAATAAAAAAAGTTAGTGATCCAGGAATAATGAATCATGAATTGTGACTGCATGACAGAAATCTCTCCTTTTGTACTTGTATCCTAACATTGCATACAAGTATGTAAATCATGTGGTTTGCCCTGCAACATTGTGATACATATTTTGTCATTGCCATGTTGATACCACCCACTGACCCGGACATGTCTATTTAGATAGGCTTTGATAAACTTCTGGTTTATATATTGAATTAAAAGTGTACTTTCTCTTGAAACTGGTGCACCAAATGGAATCTCATTAAGCTTACCTTGATAAAATTGCACTGCTTTGATGGACAGTCAGCAGGGAGTATCAAAATGTTTAAAAGGAGCAGGTCCAGGTTACATGGTTCAGTTGCTAGTTTGATCACTTGGGATAATATAGTTTCAATAGCTATCTTGATTTTCCCCCTTCCAATACCCCTAATTGCTTTATTTCTTGGCCTAAATCAATATCTGTTTTTAAGTACTGTGTTTTAACTTTAAGGTCTCAAATAGCTTTAAACCCAAACACAGAGAAGGAGAATATCAATCTATCCTACTTTCACCATGTTTTAAGATGTCCTAGAAAGGTTCTCTTTACAAAACCTTCTATATATTATTATTGAAAGAAAGCCTTTTCTTTACTATAATGCCACTGACTTCAATATTCTTTCTGAATGATTAAAGACTGGAATTTAAAAAAGGTTAATTTACCCGTTTTTCCTGTTTTTTATGTGACATTTTTGTGTCTCTATGAATATGGTCATTCATTTTCATGAAAGTCAATCTAAAAATAGTCTTAATTAAGTAAGCATTTAGAATAGCATTTTACAAAACTGTAAAAGAAAAACTAGACAATCCTGAAAAAAAACTCACTGATGTTAAAATAATGTCAGTGTGGTTTGATTGAAGAATTTAATTAAGAAAATTAGCTAAATTATAAATTTTGATATTATATATTTTGATATTATCAATACAATGAGAAAATAATACAGTACCTCAGCATTTGATCTTCATTGATAACAACTGTCTGAGTAAACAAGATACTATTGATAGATAGTACTCCATATGGTTTATCATTGGGTTTAATGGTAACTTGGACAATTGCTGGATTTTTCAAAATGGCATCTCCTTGCAAAGTGTCTTTAAGTAGTATGATATGAAACGTCTCAGCAATTTCTGGTATGGCATCATCAAATATTTTCAATTTAATATAAGATTCATGCACTAGAGGTGGGAAAACTATAGTTGTATTTGGCTGTAGATCTAGAAAGTCTAAGTTAAGCTGTGCATGTAGTGAAGAGTTCCCAGTTACAATGATGTAGCATATGGAAACTTGATTTTCATCTGGTCCAATTCTATTTCCACCATCATCTTTTCCTCGAACTACAGTTATTGCTATTATATCGTCTTCTTCATGTACCATATAAATACTCTGAGTGAATCGCACTGGACTGTCATTTGCTTTAATAATAATCTCAACAGAATTTCTTGATGTATTAATTTCAGCTCCCCCTTCCACACTTCTCAAATGTATAATATATATTTCATCATTTTCTGATACCTAGAATAAGTAAGATGTACATTACTAAAACATGATTTATATTTCTCATTCAGTTTCATGTAATTAGTACTTTATAGATAAAAACATTTCTTAAATGTTTTTTTTTTTTTGCTTTATTTTCTTGCCACTAAATTCAGCCATCTATTTCCTTTGTGAAATTTTGCGAAACATTAATTACAAGGATTGCTTGATGGTAAAAAATTGAAAGACTGTAATTTCTTTGAAAGCAAACCAACAGCCTTCCAAAAAAATATCTAACTCCACTACTAATCTTTTTCTTTTTTGTTTTCTTTTTTATTAATTTACTAATTGCTCAAACTGGCAAATACAATTGATATATATTTTTACCTGGTCATCAAGAACAAATAAGTTATAAATCAAGATAGCTGTGCCAGGTGTAAAAGTTATATTTCCCTTTATTGGACTCAAATCTTCTTCAGGAGAATTTGGGCCACCTTGTACCTATGAAGAAAGCTGAAGCTGTTTAATAGAGCACTGAGTTGTTATATCAATTAAAAATACAAATTGTTAACTTCAACAATTGACATGTTCAGAAAACAAAGCTCTTCCAAAATGGCTGGACAATTATTTATGAAGGAAACCTGAGGACTGCATAAATAACAGTAATTCAAAAATATTAGGAAATGGGTCTTCAAAGTGGAGGTACAGTAGTTAAAAATATCCATATTTATCCACAAGGTAGTTTTGTACACTTTCAACCGTTGCGGTAGAACACATGTATAAAACAAAAATAAAAATGGCAATTCTTCTTCTAATACATTAAGAATCAGGAAACGTATTTAATACATGTAGGCAGTTTGAATCAAATACTATACTGAGGAACTCATACCAAATCCCATATACATTCAAAATACAAGAAGAAAGAAGAGTTTTAATTATTATGTGGCCTTTTTAAGGGGTTTATGAAGTAGAAATTGTTTTTTTAAAGGCTAATATAAATTTGATGAGGATCTATCAAAAACTGGTTATTTATACCTTTGTAGAAAAAGCATTTGCCTAAAAATTCCTATGATTCTGAAATGTATCATGCTTACATCCAAAAATGATTTCTCTAAATACCTACTCGCAGAAACAGGAGTTATTAGATTCCACATCTGGGAATGGCAAAAACTGACTTTGAACTGATCCACCAATTCTAAAAGCTGTTTACCTCCTAAGATCCTTACTGGATAAAAAAGGGAGCAGAATTTAAAACCACTAGTGTGTCAGACTTTATAGCTCCAAACAAGGTCAGTATAAAATCTCTGTAGCTTTGGCTGAAAGATCAAGTTTATCAAGTGCAGCATGGAATGTGAGATCACAAGTGAAACTATTACATCAATATATGCCTTTCTCAGTATGTTTCTGGTCCTGAAAAACCCGATTCTTGCTAGGAAAATCTTATTTGTTCCCATAATACAGGAGTGTCAAACTGCCGGCCCATAGCAAAACCACACCCACCCCATTGCCGGCAATGGCAAAAAAGTCACGATACGTTACGTCACATGACGTTGAGAGTTTGACACCCTTGCCATAATACAATTTAAAACCAATATTATCCTGGTCATGCTGAATACTCCAAGAGCTCACAACCCAACTTCAGCAGGACAGGACAGATATTAATAATGATCTGATTACAGTGATCTGGTCAGGCAACTAGCCTGAAAATAAAAATAATCCTACTAAGTAGGAATATTTGGAAATGGCAAACTCTACTTCATTTAAGAAATGTCAAATTCATTTACCACAATGATTCAAACTTTTGGTTTATAAACCTATTTCAGCATGCTTACCTCATAGAACACAGTGACAGACCCATATGTTCCCTTCTCTCTAACTAAAGTAAAAGGCACAGATTCATTCTCACCTCTGGGCTCAGTCAATGTGATTAAGGCAGGCTAAAATTCAGAGATGAGATTGAAGATTGGGAGGGGTGGGGAGAGAAAAAAAAACATCAGGCATCAGGCATATAAATTAAATTAAATAAATAAATAAAATAAATAAATAAATAAATAAATATTTAGGGAACCAAATATACAAAAGGCTATTTTATACATGTACATTTTCCCAGTGATAAATTAATTCAGTTTATGAATTCATCCATAAACGAGATACTGTTTTTAACAATTAATTCTGATAATCAAACATATCGAAGATTTCAATATTGTTAATGATTGAATTGGTTTTTTCACCCACTAAAACATGTGCTACAAATAATTAGTATTCTATTATTTATACATCTTATTGATTTATTAAATATAATAAATCAATTTAATAAATATAAATTATTTATTATTGATAATAATAAATTATCAATATAATAAATTTTTACAATATAATATATTTAATGTTAAATCATCCTCTTAAGAGTAGAGTAGTACCAAGAGTTTATAAGTCTTATTAAGAAACAATTCACTAATGAGAAAATGCTTTATTTTCTGCATTATCTTCTCTTCCTTATTTTTTTCCTAAATTCAATGAATAGCTATTTTCAACTTATTTAACTTTGGTCTTGTGGTGTCTTGCCAATCATCACATTCATAGACTACCCCTATTTCATTTCTGATGTGATAATATAGTAATAATATATATGGTATAAAGAACCCACAAATACTTATGGTTGCTTGAAGAAAACTGTAAACATCCAATCTTAAATTCCAAAACCAACAACTAATTTAAATAGTGAAAGAATGCATTTATATTACTTTCAAACAGCAACATCCTGCTGTTGATTGAGTAGGCGTGACATTTATGCCTAAGCTAGGATTTAAGCTTTGAGCACAAACTATCAACCGCAATACTCTGAATGTCCATTATGACATCAATTTTGAAAATATTTTTCAAGAGAACCTCTTTTCTAAAATAAAACTATCAGGAATTTTTACTGGGGAAATAAGAGTGGGTTTTTTTTGGGTGACAGCTACTAGCTCTGGAATGCTGCATTAATGGAGCTGCTTACAGTTATTTTTTAAAATTCAAATGGATGTTTGTCATTTACTCTGTTTTGTTGCTGTTCTATAGGTACTATTATTTATTTCTTACTTGATTTTACTTGATGAGTTTGCAGTATTTCTCACAGTATTTATTTATTAAAGAAATTTACAGTCACACATAGGTGACTCTGGGCAGCCTACAACACACCATTTACATATTCTATTTATAAACTTAAGTATTATTTTTTATTTGAAAAGAGTATACATTGAAATAATAAATAAGCAATTACATTTTCTGTGCGAGAGATTTTTTGAGCATTCTAAGAAAACAGATGCAGTAAGTGAAAACATACCATATCAAAAGAAATAATTCCAAAAGCATTGTCATTTGATAAAATTTTTACAGTTACAGTTCTGGGCAATCCAAGCTTTACTCCTTGAAGCGGCTTCTAAAACAAACATAGCAGACAATACAGAAAATCTGATAGACACAAGGTAAGCAAAACCATCTATATAACAGGAGAAAACATTCTTCTAATCACTAATGTCTGCGTTTACAGAGCAAACAAATGTTTGTGACACATTCCGGGGAAATGAAGGGAATACTGCAAAAGCACTTTTCATGGATCTCAATCCTATAGACTCAGTCTGGTTAAACAAAAAAGTGTCTGACTCAAACTTTGACAATCATTAATCATAGCTAATGATACCATAGCAATAAGATGCTAGATGAGAAATATGCATTCCTTTCTTCCCTCAAGAACCTGAAAGGCTTTTGTGTGAAACACTACTGAAATAAATTATTTTGCAGTTATGATTAAAAAAGAGAGATCACACTGATTTAAAACAATTATGTATTTCATTGATTAATTTTACTTTAGTTAAAGGGAAAAAAGGGAAGGCATATTCGATAATAATGAAGTTCATTACCTCATACTAGCTAGTGATTTATATGCAATGACCTGAATCTCCTTATGCTGGAGGTCAGAATAACAAATCAGAGTGGAAATCACCTCATGGTGAGATGGGTGGCAAACAAATTTAATAAATAATGATAAATGAATAAAAAGAAGCCCCCAATATTTTTGAATTGGTTTTCTGAATTGAGAATCAAATGCTCTAATTTTCATGTTTAAAACAACTTAGTTAATCTTATAATTTATTTTAGATAATATCAAACTGTAAACTTGCCTATGATTTAACTTCTTATAGACATGTGTATTTTGTCATCTCAAGCAAATAAATCTATATCAGGTTTTGATAAATATGCAAGGAAAGTAAAGAAATGCTTGCAAAACAATCAGGGTTTAATTTTCTTTTTCTATCCAATTCAGACACTGAATAAGATCATTAGTATAAAATTTTATAGGTCAGTATGAATTGACGAAGGTCAAAATTTAAATGTTCTTATTTAAAAACAAACAACTTAAAATGGGGAATCAGCAGTGCTTTTTTTGTAAAAAAAAAAAAAAAAAAAAAAAGCTGAAACTCACACACGTCATACAACTCTCCTTGCCTACCCTACAAGGTTCCATCCAAAAAAGGTGCCGGAACTCTGTTCTGGGCGTTCTATGACAAAAAAAGCCCTGGGAATCAGTACCAAAAATTATTTCAAGTACAAGTTATAAGGGAATTTGATTGGGAGGTGATTACTACAAGAATGCTTTGGATTCTATTCTAAAATAGAAGGGAGGGAGGTGAATCTAGCACTCATCTGCATTTCTTCAAAGAAGCCACATCAATTCATTACACACACACACACACACACACAAATACAGTATATATATGTGTGTGTGTGTGTGTGTCTGTATGTGTGTGTGTGAATATACCATATGTGTTTGTGTATATGTATGTACCATATGTATGTATATAGAAAAAGTAATGCCTACCTGTAATGTCAAATAAAATATAAATGTTTCATCAGCCTCTGGAAGATCATCATCACAAACAGAAATGAAAACAGTTCGATTTGTTTCTGCCTGGGATATGTATGCTGCTGCGTATGTGTCAAAAAAATCACCTGTATTTTCACCATGAACCTGCAATACATATATACATACATAATCCAGAAATTAAGAACAAATACATCTTATTTCTGCTAATTTGCACCTTACGACACTCTTATGGTTGACACATTTCCTTTGGATCATATATATTTGTGCCATTCATTCAAGTAAATTATCAAAGTTGGTCTTCTCATATTATCAAGAAAAAAATGAATCTGCTTGCCCTTAAGTAAAAAATTCCACTTCAGAAAGCAAACTATGTAAATATTTGCTATTAGAGCAATTAGATTGGAAATGTTTCTTACCGATACAATTGCTGTGACATTCACTGGGTCTCCTATTCTTTCAATAATAAGACGTATAACTGTTGTAGTTGTTTCATTCACCACAAATTCTGTTTGTCCTGCAAACTTTACTTCTGTTTCTCCAGAAATCAAACTGATAATTAGTGACAAAAGAAGTATAACTAGTAAACAGACAGAGGGCATCCCTGAAACGAAAGAAGGCAAAAGTGAAATGGGGGCATAAAAGGTCAGACATTGTGCTCCTTGGCTGCGGTCAAAAGATCTAAGATCCACCGTACAATTAATCTCCCCTCTGCACCATGGACTCCCCACCTCGGACCTATGCATTCCAGGACGGTCCTGTTGGCTCTGCGCGACTCACCCCTCGCGCAGGCCTGGCCCACCAACATTTCCAGGGCCTACCTCGATGACGGGTGTGGAACCCCGAGAGGTGGCATGCAGGGATTATCGATAAAAAACTGTTTAAATTGACCAAATTGAAAAGGTTTTTAGAGGGGTGTTTTAATAAATTTTTAGGGGGATCCAGGGTGGGGGGG